ATTATCTATTTAATAATTGTGATTAACCGGTTTCGATCCCCAACAACAACGTCCTTTTAGTTCTTTTTCAGAGCAGAAGTTTTAATTTTTGGGCCGAAAACATTTACAAAGGTTCAATTTTTGGGCCGAAACGTGCAACATCTAATAATAATTTGCAGTCTTTTATTTATAACACAGAAACGATAAAAAAACGTGTTACGGGTTTATTTGGCACTTACTTTCAATTGGGGGATGATGTAGGGCTTTAGGAGAACTCTACATTAGGCATCTCATCGAAAAATGCCTCTCCAACTATCTATCTTTGAAATTCCATTTTTTAAAAAAGTAACTTTGAAATTTCTCAAAAAGAATATTTATCATTGGAAAATAAAACATTTTCATCTATGATAAATTATGCAGTACAAATTTGAATCCTCCCTGTTGTATAATATAGTGAGGAATGGTGATTCATTGTTGTCACAACTGCTAATTATCTATTTAATAATTGTGATTAATCTTGAGTTGAAAGAATAAAAATAAGTGCAAATCACATGGAATATAATCAAAATGACTTATAATCGTCAAATAAACAATAGACGGTCATGATCTAAAACGCGGACCCTTCATTATGTTTTTGTTGATAAACTTTTATAAATTGTAGACGTACATGGCGTAGCATTTCACCCATGGCTCCTCACAGGCCCACGTTTCTCTCGTAATATATTACTGCTGTAGTTAACAGCCCACCAATCATAAAGGTTAGTTACATTGTAACATCAAATGATGTTATGGAGGAACCGCGGCCTTAGGCCCTGCACAAGTATGCAAACGAAAGGCCCGTATATCTGTAACACCCCCTCAAACTTTAAGCGGGTCAAATTAAATCAGTTGAGGGGTCATTTTTAAGTAACAATTCAAGCAATTTGACCTAGTGTAGCTTTTATTTGAGGGTAAAAATAAACTTCTTTGCGAAGACGAGACGGAAGGATGGATGCGTGAGAACAAAACTAAAAAATTTTCGTTTGGCTGTCACACTTCAATGCACAGCGGCAAACGATCAAGTGCAAAGTTCTTCCGCTGTATGTTATCAAATGAGCCAACAAAATGGAAGGACGGTAAAAAGTCATTCGGTTTTTCAACTAATGGGCGTTGCATTTGAGCCCTAAGAAGTACATATGTAGCTCTTTTATAGGAGTCAGACAATATGTGAGATTTAACTTCATTTTGAAGAGAAAGTCCATACTGAAAGGGTGGCCTGTTGTTTTGATACAGGAGATCTACATGACCGAGACGGCATCAACGGACAATGACTCGACATCTCAACTCGAGTCGACGGCCGAGACGACTAAACAGATGGACGAGACGAGACTCGACCCAAACCAGCAATGCATATGGACTTCCTCCACCGCCTGAGGGGCGACAAATTAAGGGAACAGGTCCATGGGCGGATTGTGGATGCATGGGGGCGTCGTAGGGGGTGCCTTCATCCAGCGTGATATCTCGACGATTGGAATCATCGCTCCCGCACGCACATTCAGAATTATTTTCATCATAGGAGAGGCAGAAGGCTTAAGCATTCATCGTACAAATGACTTCATCTTAAATTTGAGGTGTTTAGTACCAAGAATCTTTTAGTCCAGATCGCCTCCTCGTCGTTGATGGCGTAAGTTTTGCATGACTGGGATTCGCTTGGTTCACGGCGAAAGAAAGTCCGAGGCAAAGCTTCTTCTTTGATCCCGCGATCCGCCCGGTCACGTACACAGTTTCCTTCGCCCCGCTCGACCCTCAGCTCCTCATTTAGTTCGTTTGAAAATGAAAGCTTTTGTCTTCATAACACAACTGGTGATTGATTTAGTTTGCCATGAGTTAGTTAAATGCTACTGTAGTTATTTAGAGAATTTGGAAAAATGTGAGCAGCACACGGAACTGGCAAACAAATGCTTCTGTTACTGGATAAACTGCAACGACTGCAGCAATTTCTCCCTACAAGTAAAAATCTAATCACTTATCCGGCAATCACGCTACTAATTAGTAAAAATCTAAGTAGAATTAAGATGCAATATTTACTGGTATCCCTTAACTTCCAAGCAACAAAAAAAAAACACGTCCTTAGTTTCCTCTAACTTGAGACATTAATACTACAAATAATATGTTTGTAATATAAACTCTTCCGACATTTTGACCGGAGCTAAATATAGGCAAAGTTTTCAATATACTGCTGCTCTCATAATAAGAAAACTCCATCAGAAGTCGAGCGCTTAAAGTGTTTCAAAAGTAGAATGAGCTCCAAGAGGACAGAATCACGAGCGCCGCTCGGGTTTCGATCCGAGCCCTCTGATTGATATTTCTGCAGATGGGAACATTGGTGGGTGACTGAGAGTACAAGTTGAATAAGGGGAATGAAGGGTTTAATTGCGGATACACTCCATGTACTTATCACTTTTGTTGTGTTTTATTAGCACACACGCCCTATGCCCTATGGTCACGCTGATGGTTTCACATTCCAGACATTTGGCAAGAACGCTCTCGCATGATCCCCATAAGCATTTAAAACTAGTGAAAAGATGGAATCATCAGCATGACCAGTGGATGTATGTGCTACTATGACATAGCAATAACGATAAATAGCTAAAACATCGTAAGTGGTGCATCTGCAATTAACCCTAGAACAGAATAAGTGGAGGTCCAGATTCTTACCACAGCTAAACCGGAAAGAGAGCCTTCACCAGTGCCGTCGTCCAGTAAACTTCTGCACTTGGTATGCTTTTGGAGTAGATGTTTCAATGTGACCAGCGCTGCACAGTGGCCGAAGTAGCGTCACAACATTATTAATGACGAAAAATTACAACCGTCCCTCAATGAATTTTATAATTTTTTGAAAAAAAGTACATAATCATGTTATTATTAAGAGCATATGTTCGAATATAAAAGCTATAAACATTAATTTGTTTTCCCCAATAAAATAATGATGAAATCAAGGTTTACACAAAAATATAACAATTTCAAAAATTCCCCTACTACGTAATAAGATAAAATAAACAGTAAAGCTAATGCATAAGTTGATAAAGTTGGGAGAAAGGTTCGACCTCATGGTGATTTTTCTCAGTGTGGAATTGAGGCTAATAGATGATGGGGAGGTGAAAAGAGGAGTGCTGCCATGGTTTCCATTATGTATAAATAAGGTTGTTTTGCTTAAAAGTTCAACCTTCTCAACTATATCAACAATCATATCTTATGGAAAACAGTTTAAGTTGTAACCAACAGGTGCTAAACAGCAAAAGCCGTTTCACTGAGAAAAAGCACGCACAGAGACGAAGCTAGAGGCTTAAGGGCATGGATATTCAAAAGAACTAAATCATGACATATTTAAGAATACTTCTGAATCTCTGATCAGCTACTGTTGAACAACAATAGGAAAATGATTCACGCAAGAGTTGTACTCACAAGTTGTCATCAGGGTTCATTGTTCGGTCGGATTGCAGCATTCTTCTCCTCCGTAAGCCCTGAAATTAAACCAATTGTCTGGGTAAGCATAAAAAAGAACTTCAATTTTCATTATATGCTGTATGGAATAATTGGAAATATGCTGGATAAAAAAATTTATCCATAAAGGAAGTTCAATTATAGCCATAGTATGCAGAAACCAACTATTAAAGAGAAATAAAATAATTACTGTAGCAAAAGAATTTAAATACTCACATTGCCAAATTCCCATGAAGCGTTCCCACAGGAAAATCCCTCGTCACATCCTCCAGGAAACGGAGATGAAGGATTAGGCAGCGACATATACAACTGACAGCGAGATCTGATCCACCGTATTACCCGCCTCTTTAGAAAACTGAAAAAACCCAGTAGCATGCATCAGACTTTCAAACAATGGATTCAATAAGAAGTCGGGAACATGGTACACTATAGCGAACTACGACTCGGCTTCAATCATCCTAGATTCGCGTGGAACATGACCTGATTCAACAACTCCAGTGACCAGATTTAGAATTCAAAAACCAATTAAAATGTCGGGCAAAAAGCTCTTTTTAAAAGAATAAACAACAAAAACGTAAGAAATTAAGCATACAAATTATGCATATCTTAATTGCAACATGGTTCTCAAGGTTCTATTACCATTACTGATATCAACTAGCATTTAAGAACCAAACCTAAAGCATACCATGTTTCCTGGCGTACCATGTAAGCCTACCCCCTCGTACATGATTCCTAATGAGTGGTGTACCATGTTCCCGTACACGTCCCGTGAACAGGAACAAACTAGGTTCCATGCAATTCAAAAGAACCTGACAAGCCTCTTTAACAAACTTCATTTCATCTTCAAACTATGTATCCTCCTTAGTTCCATCTACATTCATGCATAAACCACTCTTAAGATGGGGGAGACGAGCATAACATTATCCCATTAGCAAAGTACATGATGAAACCAAATTTTGCATCAACCTCAGCTTTAATTAATAACACAGACACTTTAATTCACACTGCTAATTCAAAATGGCAAAAGAGCCTAAAAAATCCTCTTGAACAAAAGGAACAAAAACAAGTGCACAAACCCAGCACAATCTTTAAATTCGAAACAAAAACAAGCAAGCACACCCAATTGCATAATTACGACCTCATATACCAAAATTGAAATGAATTAATAGATATAATATTTGATTAGATTACCATTTCATGTGTAATATCCTTTCTAGTGGCTCCTTCGAAGATAATGACACCCTCAACAAAAAAGCAATCTTTGCATTGCATGTCAGAAGGTGCTTCGCTTTGCGCTTGCATTGTAACTATAAAATAAATTACGTAATTAAACTACACCAGAAGGAGATAAAAAAGGACAGAACTCTATAAAAATTGTAAACATACCCACAACTTTGCACATTGATCGAGGTAAGAGGATCTAGCTGCTGGGCCGAACGATGTAATCCACCCAGTTGGACTCCCTAGACTAAATCAAGGCAAAAAAGAAAACAGAAACATCAACTATTAAAAAAGGACAGAACTCTATAAAAATTGTAAACATACCCACAACTTTGCACATTGATCGAGGTAAGAGGATCTAGCTGCTGGGCCGAACGATGTAATCCACCCAGTTGGACTCCCTAGACTAAATCAAGGCAAAAAAGAAAACAGAAACATCAACTATTTATTTTTAAATCTTTATTTCCTTTTTGAATCTAAGTAAATAATTAATGAGAATTACCCTAAAGGCGACGTGATCATCGGTTTTGTTGGATAACTGGATAGAGCAGCTAATCTGCTTCTCTAATTCGACTGCTCAAACCAAAATCAAGAAATTAAATAAAGGAATGAGACTAGAACAAGAAAACACTAAAATTGTTCCAAGATCAAAAGCAAACTTTTGATAAGGGGAAAAGGAATTACATGGGAATTCGAGTTGGGGAGGTTCAATCTCAAGTAGCTCGCCGGCGCTTACTTTGAGATCAATCGATCGATCAACCAGTGATGGTGACACATAAACAGCTTGAAGTACGACCTCATCGATCATATTACCTGACTCTTCAGTAAACTGAGAAATCCAATTGCATGCATCACTCCCGAACTTTGGATTCAATAAAAGATGACAAGCCTCTTAAATGAACTAAGCAAATTTTAGGGTTTTTTCAATATTAGTCCCTTAAATCTTTAGTAATTTGATATTAGTTCCTCAAATCTTCATTTTGTGTTGATATAACTCTATTAGGTTAGGGTTAAACATAGTACACTCTGTTAGGTTAGGGTTAAAAATAGTACACGCCCCCCCTGTTACTCTCATTGTTCTCCAAACTCTTCACATTGTCCTCTAAATTGTAATTCAGCCGAAACTCATCAAAGCTCCCATCATCAGCCCCTCTTCCTCCTCATTCTTCTCTCCCATCAAAGTGGGTTGAGCTCCAATCGAAAGACTAGCCTCAAGGGGAATCAAAATCTTTGGCCCGTTAACAAACTGAGGGGGAGAAGAGAAAGGGGAAACAGGTATGGGCTTTGGGGGAGAGTCATTAACGGGTTTGGGTTTGTTGAGTGAGGGTCGTAAATGTCAAATTATGGATGAGGGTTAAACATAACGGAATATTCCCCTAATTCTAGGGATGTCAATTTTAACCCATACCTATTTACCCACCCGACCCACCCATTAATTGGCCCGCCCAAAACCCACCCATTTAGTTAAATGGGTCTAATCGGGCGGGTGTATTTTAAATAATACTAAACGGGCGCTAAATGGGCGGTGTATACTCACCCGTTTGCCCGCCCGCCCTTATTGCCCAAACTGAAACCCTAAAACCCCAATCTCGTCCCCAATCCACAACGGAGCAACCGAGCTCTCTTCCGCCTCAATCCCGACCCCAATCCCTCCTCCGCCTCCTCCGCCGCCGCCTCAACCGCCTCTCGAACCCGACGCCGCCTCCATCACCAAGGTGAGCTCCGCTTCCTTCATTCTCTCGTTTCCTGTTCTTTACTTCTCTTTCTCAATGATTTTGATTAATTTCCATCGTATCTAGAGTTTTTTCTTTAATCGTGCTTGATCTTGCGTGCTACTGGTGAGTTAGGTTTCTTGAAGAAGAAGGTGGATCTTTGCTCGATCTCGGCCTCATTACTTGAGGAGTTCCAGGTTGAGCTCCTCCACCTCCGATCTCAGCTTGACCTCAAGCTCGATCTCAGCACCAAACTCATTTTACATTGTTTTATCTTGAGGTATTGTCTTCCTAATCTCATTTTACATTGTTTTGATTTGATCTATAAAATATTTTCTGGATCAATTACATGATAAAAGATGAAAAATTGCATTTTGGTGCATAATCTTCGTGATTTTGATGATTTTAGGATGAATAGGCTCTAGTTTCTGTTTTAATTTTATGCTAGTTTTGTTGGTTTTGTTCATTTATATGAAGTTGTTCATCAAATTTAGCACACGAAGAAAAACTTGTTAAATCATCAAAGGGGTTTCGTTTCTTACATTATATAAAATTTTGGCATGATAAACGAGGAAGAACTTAACATAAATTGTTTCTTACATTATATAGAATTTTTTTTCCTTCTTCTAATTTGAAGCTCATGGAACCAAAGTTCCTGTGAGATGATCGTTTCATTTTAGGGAACTGATTCATCTTTAAGGGCCTGTTTGGGTTTCCAGAAATCATACTTTAGTCCCAACAAGGGTCATCCAAACCTATTCTTTGACCTTAAAAAAAGCAAAGTTCCATTTGTTCGTGAGGTAACTGGCCATGTCCTTTCAGAGAAACTAATCTTCATCAGTTAGGCTTTTTTGGTCAGTTGATTTGTTTAAATTGTTCTTATTTTTTCTAAACTAGAGTCTATTCTAATCAAGGAGATTACATAAATAGATCGGCTATTCTAAACTACAGTCTATTCTAAATTAAAACTGATACGTCAATTAAAAAAAGTTGCCTTACATCTAACTCTCAACATCAGATCTCTTTGTAAATCATGTGCCATTGAATCAAGTATAATAACAAGTGAATAAGATCAGTCTTCGTAATTCTTGTTATATTATTAGCGACATATGAATTATTACACCAACCAATTACTGCTTTTATATTATTTTGTGCCTTTATTATGTGTTTGCTACCCAAAATTGATGTGCTATTAGCGACATCCCAAATAGGTTGCAGATTGACAGGTATTCTCCTATTAGCGACTTATGTGCATATCACAGCTGCATATGATCCATATCTGTCATATTTTACTCTCAGAAACTATCAGGCAAGAACAAAAAATTAGCTTTCAGTTCTTGCCAAAGACAAAAGATTGAGAACAAAGAAAAAACACATGAAAAGAAAATAAATTTAGCCTTCCTTATCGTTGAAAAAACAGTACTTTGATGTTTAGGGAAAAGCCAGAGATATGTTTATGATTCTCATATCCTGCCTCAGAGACCAATTCAATCCTACAACAACAGTCTCTTTAGTGACCTTGAGTATACGTGTATGCAGGTCTATTAGATTCATAACCAGACTTTCTGCCTATATTCTCTCCTCAACTACGAACTCAGAGGTGTTTTTTAATAAATATTAAATTTAGAGATGGGTGCCAGCTTGACAAATGGATAAAGAATCAGCCAAATCTTTTCACGGGGCTTTCCTAGAATAGAGGTCTGTATAATAGCCGACGCTTTCAATCCTGTGTAGCGAGTAAAAGGTTTAATCTAGATAACAATTTATTTGTAAAGAATCGTTCGTATATAGTTGTTCAAAATATTGTAGACCACAATCAGCACATATACTATCAAATGCATGGATCATCATGCGTTTCTATCAACTTTTGGAAGGGTTCTAAGCTCAAGCCTATAGTTTAAGACTTTAAGTCAAGTGTCAGGTGTCAGTAAATTTGCATATAAAATATGCAACCCTGAGTAATGCCAATGTGAATCCTCTTTGGAAAAACAGAAAAAGGAAACTTACAATTGCTTTTGGAGGTAAAGGTGAAGCGCTAACATCCGCCTTGGCTACTGGAGCTTCAGTAAATTTGCATAATATGGCACAACCTTTATTATATAGAAATTCTGTAGATGCGTGTGTTGGATTGCGATAGTTGGTTCGTTGTTTGTGATGGCTTGTCCTTGGTATACTAATGGTGTGGTTAGGGCATTGTCAGTGTTTGGCTATGCTTTCTTTTGTGCTCCCTTTGTGTGGGCATCAGTGGTGAAGGTCGTGACTTCTTTGCATCTTGTTTTTGAAAGGGAGGGTTTTTTTCCTAGATTGGGAGAAAGCTTACAGACTCCTCAGTTCAGCAAGCTGTACTGATGTTATTTATTATTTTTGGAAAGATTTTGGGATTTTTATTCCTGTATCACTTGTGTATGAATACGAGTATATTCGGTATATTTTAATACCTTACAGAAGAAGGGGGAGGGGATGCAATTGGAGAATGTATAGTAGTTCTCATATCAGGCAGCAGGAGGCTTACCAAGACCGTTTAGTTGGTGTCTCTCCTGCTGTGTTCTGATATTTCATTATTTATCTGAAAAGGGAATATTTGGGTCATTCAACTGCTGCTGCAGCAAATGTTCGAAAATTGAACAATTAACCAAGTAAAGTTTCATGATTTTTAGTTGCATTTGGAGCTGAAGTTGCTGTTGTTGCTGATGCAATTCTTGTTGCTGCTGCAGCTATTGAAGATGATGTTGCTCCTCTAACTGAAGTTTCAAAAATTGCTCTAACTCTGGCATATACTGGTTAACTGACTGTTGATGCTGCAGAGAACCTTGAATTTGTTCAATAAATGGCACAGACGAATTCTGACGAGAAAGCAAGCGCTGCTGCTGAAGCTGCTGTTGCTGTTGCTGCTGCTGCTGCTGCTGCTGCTGCTGCTGGGTCTCCCATGGCTTTGTTGGTGTTGTTGAATCCTGCAGCTTATGTGGTTCCGTCTATAATATAACGGTGGGATTCATATCTCTCCACCACAAATACCTATATAGGGAGAGATCGTTTCCTTTATCAACATCACCTGATTTGTTTAGCTAATAATTGTTTTTTTAATTTGAGTATCAAATGTTAATAAGGTAACTCATGGATACTAGAATTTTAGAATGAATCATGTATTACCACTCATTAACAATTTTGAAAGTAGTGCACTATTCGACATACACGAAGCATTTAGTTAAATTTTAGAGGGTGTGTCCGTCAATATGAAACTTGACAGCAGTATGAGGGGTCCATGTGAAATTAACCACGTTTCCTCCGTCCAATTAATTTTCATCAATTTTCAATTGTCAAACTGAACGGCAGCAAATGTATTCGTTTTCAAAATTTACTCTATTTTAATTAGCATTCCCTTGCCGAATAAAACTTAATAAAATAAATAGTTAAGAAAGATCCGTATAATAATAGGCCATGATTTGATTTGTAGATTGCCTTATTATCCTTTCAAAGTTATGATTAGCTATTGTCAAATTGCCCTCAACCACTTGTATACTCAGTCTGCAATATTTCCAACTAACATTGAGGCTGCAGATGAAGATTGCCACGCTTATGGTTTCGTATGGGCAAAACCTTATCATCACTTAGGTTAGATAATTAGATTGTACTATCTCTCTGTTTTTTTAATGATAAAGTTACAAGAGAGAGCGCCCACATATAGATAGAAAAACCAATCATGAAAGCACAAATTTTCAAACGGTTTGACAATTTGCTTATGTTCAATGATGTATTAGAGTTTCTTTCATTTTTTTTTCTGATAAAGTTACAAATTAGTAATCTATAAGTGCAAATTGACAATTCATTAGGTATTTTTATCAAATGAACAGAGTTGATTTTTGATGGAAAAACTTAATTTTTGTTGGAAAAACAAAAAAGTATTATAGAGTTTTATGATTTTGGGGATCTATTGTGGGCGACGGAAGTGATTATGCCTCCATTGACCACACAAATATTATTGTCGTCTCATGAAAATATTCCTGATTTTTTTTGTCTACTTTGGTATGAAAGGGCTGTTCTTATGATGAGAGTTCCACCTTTATTGTTAGAAGGTGATTGATCTCCTATCAAATAAAGTGTACTCTCAAAGAGTCATTAGTAGACGGAAATTTCCGTCTAGGTTGCTCAATTTCCCGTCTAGGTTGGAACACGTAGACGGAATTCTGTCTAGTTTGCTCCGTCTAGGTTGGGACAAACTAGACAAAATTCCGTCTAGGTTGACCAACCTAGACGGATATCAACCTAGACGGAAGTAAGAAATCCGTCTAGGTTGGCAACCTAGACGGACTTTCGTCTAGGTTGATTATGACAACCTCGACGGAATTCCGTCTAGTTTGATTCATCCTAGACGAAATTCCGTCTAGATCGATATTTTTTCAGCAAAAAAATTATTTACAATTTGTATTTCCCTGTACAATTACATGAATACATTCAATAAATACTATACACATGAATACATCCAACCATCCAAATATAATCAAATCCAACATAATGCACAAATCCAACCATCCAATCCAAAATATACATCAACCAATTCCGTCTAATATATCCATCCAACAGCATATATACTAACAATGTACATGAATAAGATAAGATACACGACATGAATAAATGTAGTGTTATAACAAATAAAACTATTTATTGTATTAAAAATAAAAAAACCTCATCTATTATCGTCGTCGGCAGTATCTCTATCTCGGTTACGAGAACGGGTGCTGCTTCCTCCAATATCTCCACTATGAATGTTTAATTGAATAATCATTATGTGGAGTTTGATAACATATTAAATAAAAATAAATTTATAAATATAAGAAAAAATAAGGTAACTGAGCGTTGCTCTATCTAGCGCCGAAATTATCGACAATCAAGCTTATGATCCGTATGATACCACCATACACGCTATAAGGAATTGCACCGCCTAAATATTGTATAACATACCTCATGAGATCGTCCATCGAGTTCGCCATCAGCGCAACTCTAGTCATCTCATTAGTCACCTGAATATGCAGCTCCGGGTCAATCTTGTCAATCAAATACGCAGAGATAAATGCAAAAAATAACATAGATTGGAAACTGCTTGGGCTGCTCTCATTGATGTAGATGACGTGGAGGATGCTGTGGATGATCTCATGCTTATGCCGGGTGAAGCTCCAACACCATGCAGAGGATATCTTCCTCTCCTATTATTAGGGAGAAATAATATTAAATTTTGCTCTTCAATTCAATAATGTTAAACAAATATAAATAGGAACATAGTATTCAAATTGATTCGAATTTTTACCATCCATACCTATTATGACCCATCAGGTTCTGTGTGAGAGTGATGTTCTCCTCTGCAGAAAGCATGTGAGGGTCCGGCTCGGTTTGTTCCTCCTCCTGCGAAATGTACACAGATGCAGCCTCCTTGGATGCAGCCTCAAATCCCTCCTAAAGCACAAATATATAGTTAATTCAAGGTAAAAACTTAATTGGGGTCTTACAGCTTAATTAGGGCCCATAACTTAATTGAATAAATTAAGTATACCAAAGTGGACCCATGAAAAGCCGAGGCTTAACCATAATGAACACGAAGTTCCCTTAACTTCGAACGCAAGGTTCGACTGTATTGAGTACGAGACTCACTTAAGTACGAACGCAAGGTTCGTTTGAAAAATGAACGCAAAGTTCAACCTGAGCACGAACGCAATGTTCGACCTGAGAACGAACGCAAGGTTCGTTTAAAAAATGAACGCAGAGTTCAACCTGAGTACGAACGCAATGTTCGATCTGAGAACGAACGCAAGGTTCGTTTAAAAAATGAACGCAGAGTTCAACCTGAGTACGAACGCAATGTTCGACCTGAGAACGAACGCAAAGTTCGTTAAAAATGAACGCAGAGTTCAACCTGAGTACGAACGCAATGTTCGACCTGAGAACGAACGCAAAGTTCGTTAAAAAATGAACGCAGAGTTCAACCTGAGTACGAACGCAATGTTCGACCTGAGAACGAACGCAAAGTTCGTTAAAAAATGAACGCAGAGTTCAACCTGAGTATGAACGCAGAGTTCAACCTGAGAACGAACGCAAAGTTCGTTAAAAATGAACGCAGAGTTCAACCTGAGTACGAACGCAATGTTCGACCTGAGAACGAACGCAAGGTTCGTTTAAAAAATGAACGCAGAGTTCAACCTGAGTACGAACGCAATGTTCGATCTGAGAACGAACGCAAGGTTCGTTTAAAAAATGAACGCAGAGTTCAACCTGAGAACGAACGCAAAGTTCGTTAAAATTGAACGCAGAGTTCATCCTTGAGTACGAACGCAATGTTCGACCTGAGAACGAACGCAAGGTTCGTTTAAAAAATGAACGCAGAGTTCAACCTGAGAACGAACGCAAAGTTCGTTAAAAAATGAACGCAGAGTTCAACCTGAGAACGAACGCAAAGTTCGTTAAAAATGAACGCAGAGTTCAACCTGAGTACGAACGCAATGTTCGACCTGAGAACGAACGCAAGGTTCGTTTAAAAAATGAACGCAGAGTTCAACCTGAGTACGAACGCAATGTTCGATCTGAGAACGAACGCAAGGTTCGTTTAAAAAATGAACGCAGAGTTCAACCTGAGAACGAACGCAAAGTTCGTTAAAATTGAACGCAGAGTTCATCCTTGAGTACGAACGCAATGTTCGACCTGAGAACGAACGCAAAGTTCGTTAAAAAATGAACGCAGAGTTCAACCTGAGAACGAACGCAAAGTTCGTTAAAATTGAACGCAGAGTTCATCCTTGAGTACGAACGCAATGTTCGACCTGAGAACGAACGCAAAGTTCGTTAAAAAATGAACGCAGAGTTCAACCTGAGAACGAACGCAAAGTTCGTTAAAATTGAACGCAGAGTTCATCCTTGAGTACGAACGCAATGTTCGACCTGAGAACGAACGCAAAGTTCGTTAAAAAATGAACGCAGAGTTCAACCTGAGAACGAACGCAAAGTTCGTTAAAATTGAACGCAGAGTTCATCCTTGAGTACGAACGCAATGTTCGACCTGAGAACGAACGCAAAGTTCGTTAAAAAATGAACGCAGAGTTCAACCTGAGAACGAACGCAAAGTTCGTTAAAATTGAACGCAGAGTTCATCCTTGAGTACGAACGCAATGTTCGACCTGAGAACGAACGCAAAGTTCGTTAAAAAATGAACGCAGAGTTCAACCTGAGAACGAACGCAAAGTTCGTTAAAATTGAACGCAGAGTTCATCCTTGAGTACGAACGCAATGTTCGACCTGAGAACGAACGCAAAGTTCGTTAAAAAATGAACGCAGAGTTCAACCTGAGAACGAACGCAAAGTTCGTTAAAATTGAACGCAGAGTTCATCCTTGAGTACGAACGCAATGTTCGACCTGAGAACGAACGCAAAGTTCGTTAAAAAATGAACGCAGAGTTCAACCTGAGAACGAACGCAAAGTTCGTTAAAATTGAACGCAGAGTTCATCCTTGAGTACGAACGCAATGTTCGACCTGAGAACGAACGCAAAGTTCGTTAAAAAATGAACGCAGAGTTCAACCTGAGAACGAACGCAAAGTTCGTTAAAATTGAACGCAGAGTTCATCCTTGAGTACGAACGCAATGTTCGACCTGAGAACGAACGCAAAGTTCGTTAAAAAATGAACGCAGAGTTCAACCTGAGAACGAACGCAAAGTTCGTTAAAATTGAACGCAGAGTTCATCCTTGAGTACGAACGCAATGTTCGAC